CGACAAAGCACGATTTTAACGAAGAACCTCGCTATATTTCGCAATCTTTTCATACGATAAATATCGCCCCGGCGGTGCCGACGTCGTTCTCGCGTTACGCTATGCTTCAACACCGACATTTATCTCCGGGATTGCCTGTCGCGTTGGCGGGCGTGCGCTGACAAATGGCGGCGCGATGTTAGCGAGTACTAATGAAAACTTCATTTAAACAGGATTATGCTACGTTAATACTAATTATTCTTACGGATAACGGCGAGCTTACCGGGAGCCGAGCGCTACGGCGCGGATATCGAAGCCACTTCTCAGCGCTGCACCCGCGCGGTGTAACCCGTAAACAGACCGAATTAATGGTGAAAAGGCCCCACTCGGCATAATTGCTACGTGCCGGGGAAGACACGTGTGTACGAAGAACGGTAACGGAGATGTGTAAAAGTGAGGACATATCGAATATCGCAGACACCTCGCACTGTTGTTTCCGCCCTTGCGGTAACCGCGTAACGTTATCGTTACTTGCAATCGCGGTAACCGAGGCGGAGAGCGGGAAATATTCAGCCGACTCGCCGGTGGATCAGACGATACCATCGACATGATACTGGACGGAGTTCATGCGGCAAAATTTCCTTGATCTTTCATGTTGCCGGGTCTGGAAGGAGAGAAGTAGATACTTGGGGTGCGGATATCTCTCTGCACTATCTTCTCATTGGTTGAATTCGGTCCAACGAGAAGGAGAACAGCATTATACACAATTTTGAAGTGCCTCGCGATGCCCCGGTCTACACGAGTCACTATTACCCACACATCTTGTCTCTTTCTACGTTTGTTAACACGGTTTCAATTCCATGCTCCGTCCAGTACGTCGATGAACGATACGAACGCGGGAAATCGAGACAAGGGAAGGGATCTATTCGCGCCGGTACGTTTCTCGTTCGCAATTAGCGCGCTGAAAAATGCGATACGTCGGCATCGAGGGAAGAAGAGAGAGAGAGAGAGAAAGAGAAGAGCAGTTTACGTGTACCACCACTTTCACGGTGGAGGTAACATCGACGTGAGACGTGGGGAGTGGGAGGGGGGGGGAGGGGGGGGNGGGGGTGGTTGGCGGCGGTCTGAAAGCGGAGATGGCGGTTACAGGGCCTGAAAGTTGCGCCGCCGAGAGAGCGACGGTAGGCAGTGATCGAGCGGTCGCGACTTAATGAAACTCTTAAGTGCCGACTATTAATATGGCTTCCAAGTTACCGGAGAGGCCCGCTGCACCTCCATCCACCACCACCACCCCCATGAGTTCCTCTCGTCCTGCTTCGCCGTTCGCGAATTCCCCCCCCCCGGGCGAGGAAGCAGCCCGGGCCGCGCGATTTTGCACCGAGGGTGCGACGGCGAGCAAAGGAAATTAATTTTACGCCTGTCGTCCATTTGGTGAAAATCGCGAAAATCGTCTGTCGCGTCTCCGTCCGTTTCCCGGTTCCACAGTTTGTCTATTAAGGGCATAATCGGGGCGAACTTCTGTTCGAAGGCCGTTACGTCGGAAACTTTTGAACGAGCAGGTGGAAGGGTTCTTTCCCTACGACGCGTTATACAGAGGAGTCATTGTCCGAGGTGCGTTAAAGAACGATGTATTTAATGAGCACCGGAATGTCGGGTAGACGATGGCGAATCGGATCAATATATGCTTTTACACAGACTCTTATTAGACAGACTATCTCGACAGAATCGATCTCACTGCGTCCACACGCACAAAAGTGCAGAAACGGTGTCTGAGTACGTATATTTTGTACACAATTGCGAGGGGAACGATAGAGAACACGGTCGACTGTTCATCCACTTGAATTACCCGTAAGATCATAGTTGAAATCCTCTTCCGCGGATTACGTGTAGGCGCCTTACGCTGATTTCGAGTAACGCGCGCGCCGACCTAAGCACGACGAGGCAATTGCAACAACGAGTCGCAATCGCTCGGATCTCGGCCTTCTCATCCTTCTCAATCGCGGGGCGCTACTTCACGCTCGTCGTTCACCCCGGCACGCGGATAATTACGAATTTTGTCATAGAAGCCCTCCGCCCCTCTCGAGGGGGCTGCAGCGCGCGAGATTAATGAGCGCCGTTGCGAGCCGTCCTCGTTGCGGCTAATCCGTCTCTTTTCCTGCCAAATCGCGCTTCACCGACATTTCGCCGTTCCACCGTGTTATTTCGACGCGCATCTCGACTCGCAGACTCGCGTCAAAGGACTTTATAATCCCCGTAAGAGGGAATCAAAACGTTCACAATGCGATTACGGGGTTACACTCCCGTCGTCGATCTGGAAAATAAGCGTTCCTCCCCCGTCGTGAATATTTTCCACCGAAAAGCCGCGCGCGCGCGAGAACCGGCGCTCGGAAGCTGCAGAGTCGAGCGCGTTAACGAACGATCGGCCGCTTTCGCGTCGGCATCCGATAATTCGCGTGCACAGCCGCTAAACGCGCCGGCTAATAGCGCGCGCGCGCTAAAGCGGGTTCATGCCTTGTCGCGCTTTTCGAGCCGCGACACACGGGGTGTCACGCGAGGAAGTACGCTCGACTACGAGGGGCTTCGTGTCCCCGTCCTCGATTTGTCTTTGAATGAAAAATTGATCCGGTTAGCGACTGTTGCGGCTTGTCGGAAATTGCGAGTGTAGGAAACTGCGACGGGGGAGAGCGGAAGAGAAAGAGAGAGAGAAGGAGGGAGGGAGGGAGAGACAGAGGAAGATCGATGACGCGCCGATACTTTATCCGTCGCGCGCTACTCTCGTCGAGTAAACCGGATCGCACGCTTCTTCCTTCGTGTGTTCGAATAATTATTTCCAATTTCGCGGGGATTCAATCTTCCCGGATAAATTAAAATCCAACACAGGAGCCCTTCCCCCCGTCGGGGGTCCCATCTGCGAGGCGATCGGCGGCCGATTATAAAGCGTCGCGAATTAAAGAGGTGGCGGCTTGTAACGAGGGTATTACGCGAATTTAATTAAACACACCGAATAAGGTGAGATCGGGTTCTCCGTCGATACCGCGGCTGTTGAATGCGCGCGCGGCCAAATTAATCCCCGAGTTTTCGGCTAATCTACCGTCGCGCAGATTAGACGGGGGCCCTCCTTCCGTCGTTACCGGGGACGGTCTCGTCGCGGGACTTCCTCGAAGAGACCCGGTGGCGATAAACAAATTGCTCGAACAACAACGACGAACGCGCCGACGTTTATCCGAGAGCGACGCGCGTTCGGCTTTTCGCTTTTTCGCTCCACTCGGTCGGCCGATTTTTTTCGCGACGCAGACGCGCCGAAAAATTCGCGTCCGCCGTCACCGGCGTTGGTCGTTTTGTCGTCATCCCCTTCCCCCGCGTTCCGCCTTTCCACCCTCCGCCGTTTTTTGCCTTCGGTCTTCTTTTTTCCGCCCCGCCACCCCCAACACCCAACCTCCGATCCCGTTGGCGCGCGCGTTCGCCCGTTTTTCGATTCGCCAGCCGAGACAATGAAGTCCTTATCACCAATGGCTATCGCCACGGGTGCCGAATCGCGAGCGTAAACCGGCCGGCGCGGCCGTTCTCTCTCTCTCTCTCTTCCTCTCTCCCTCCCTTTTATGCTTTTATTCTTCGATCTGTATATATATATATATATATATATGCACAGAGAAATTTTTTGTTTGTCTCCAGGGTTTACACCGGAGCTTTCACGGCTTTCACCGCGAGTGCGGCACCTCTGACCGCGACGTGCTGACAGCGACAACGCGGAGCGGACTCGACGAATTTCCCCGGAGCCGCTGCGAACGTTGTGGCTACGCAATCATCCGACCTCTTCGCTCGTTCGATAAAAATTATGCGCATCGACCCACCACGAAGTCGCTGTCTATCCTGGAGGAACCGCTGTAAGGTCGAAGCTCGCCTCCGATCGCGCGCCGATTTTTCCGTCTAAGAGTCGCTTCCTCAACGTCTCTCCCGAGCGGAATTTAATCGCAGTTAATGCAGCAAACGAGTAAACGAGTCATCCTAGCGCCCGAACACTTTGTAATTCAATTGCTTCGAGATTGCGCTCTATCCGGCGAATTAAGCGACCCTTCCAAGCACAAATGATTAATTTCGCGCGTGCGGGCGCAGAATTACTTCGCGCTTTCCCTCCTCTTCTTCCTTGGTTTACTTCTTATATAAGAGGTATTTCTTTAACTACCTTTGACTGCAAACGGGGAGGTAATTCTTCCGCAATCAATTATTCGAGTTATTCGTAATTAAAGAAATGTATGATACTCGGTGTATATTAAGCGCGAATACCCACAGAATATAAATTATGCGCGGAGTAAACGTCACGGGTATCATTTAACTAGATATGGTCGCCGCGACGAATGTTGTTTTAAGCAATTATTTGATGTTTCAACTCGATGAGTGTAATATAGAAACTAGTCTTTAAGCGGAGATACGTGTACTAAATAAACGCTCTCGGGGAAATTCGGGAAAATTCGGATCCTAATCGCGTTTTAACAAGTACGCGTAAGTTGAGCGTATGATTACTCCGCTCGCCTGACGGAACAGTCGATCGATGTAAGTACACGCCTCTTACTTCCAGAAATAGTCGCGCCGCGTGTTTAACAAGCCTCCTCAACTTTTAATAGGCTCGATGGCCCAATTATGAGCCACGGCGGGAAGTAACGAAGTCTGTCGCATTTTACTAGCCGATATGTGAGTGCACAGCGTTTCCCATATCTCGTTAGATAAAAGCGGAAATAAGAGGCGTAAATACACAGTGACGAAAGAGAGAGAGAGAGAGAGGATTAGAATTCTTCGCGCGTCGTTGCAATTTTCGTCGCTCTGTCAATCAACGCGAGTTCCATTTATCGTTGTTCAATTTGCGGAAATGACGAATCGGAAATGACGCGGCGGTTACCATGGCGGTTACCGCAGCTCTGTCGCTATAAAACAGGTATCGATATCCTCGAAAATAAATAAACCCCCCCCCAAAAAAAGAGGGGAAAAAATAGTCATGCCGGTATTCGGTAAATGAATTGACTCACCGTTGCGTTGTTGCGCCACGTCGTCACGCCGGTCTCTCTTCAGTGTTTCCCTCCTCTTCTCTCTCTCTCTCTCTGTCTCTATCCATCTATCCATTTCTCTCTCGATGATCTGAAAACATACGAGAATCAAATTCGATTGATACTTTCAATTTTAGAGTTTTGTATCAAAGGAAAACAGACACGTACGCGCCGCAACATCAAACAAAGATATGGCTAGATAGACCGAGAGTGCAAACATGGACAGATAGCTTTGATAGAAACACGTTCTCCATTTTCCGAGGCCGGTGCCGAAACGAGTCGACCGTGGCGTACCGTACGGCACCGCACGCCATACCACGCCAAAACCGACAGGTACGCTTCTCGAAACGCGGAATCCGCCGCCGTACAAAGTGGCACGCAAGGCGATCTCGATGCCGTATCAGTCTTGAATAGCGGTTAAAGCATCGTCCACACAATCAAACCGAGTATGTGTGTACTCGATCGCTCAGGGCGATCGGGGGGGAGGGGGGAGGGGGGGGAGATACCAGCGTCGAGCGAGCGAACGATACGATATATGCGGAAGAGATGAATAGGGGGGAGGGGAGCACTCATTAATTAATTAGTCTCCGAATCTACCAATCTCTCTCACCGGGGGGGCTCCGCAACGATCGATGAACCGGATCGAGCCCGTCGTTGATTACGGGGAATGGTATCTCGCGCGCGGCGAATCGCCAATCGGTGTGATTGGAGCTGGACGCAGCAACGCGAGAGGTCCGTCGAAAGCGGCGGGAATGCCGCGAGAGTTCTGCGCGCGCGCTCGTTGTGGAACGAGCGTAACAAGGCCACGGGCGTTTCGGCCGAATTTCGCGGGGCTCCGCGCCGCCATAATTTCGCCCGCGCGAAATCCCGACGGTCGGAACGGAACACAGATGTATAGAATGGATTGAGCATTGCCATTGGAGAACTGATGCCCAAGATCAAAGGACAGAGATGTGTTAACAGTAACGCTTTCTCTGTCACGCGGTACTGTAGGGAGAAGGGGGCGGGGGAGGAGACGTAATAACAAAAGAATGTGAACATGATAAAGGGAAGAGAGGAGTAACGCGCATTTGATCGTGCGAGAAGCACATTAATAATATGAGAAAGTTGAAGGGTCAAAGGAATCTTTGCGTGACTTTTCGTTCTAATTGGATTTCGAATATCTCGCTACTCGAACGGCCGATCGTTTCCCAATCGCGCCAATAACTGTATCGTATTTAAATCTATATATACTACAAGTTTCAACGAATTTAAAGAAAAAAAAAACTCATTTATGTCACAACTACCTTAATACAACTCATATTGCGCATAAATAACAGTTTGCGCATTCGTAGTTATTAATTCGCTCCCACCCTTTCCTCCTTCCCATCAACAACACAATTAGGCAAGGAAAGCGCCATTGTCTCCATTATCCTCTCTTATTAATGCCGGCTTCAATCCTCTAATGGCAGCCCTCGGTCTATTCTCTGCGTCTGCGGGACAATCCGCCGGCACGACGAGAGACGTCCCTTTTTCGCGATCGTTTTCGCGATTCGCAGTCCGAGCACACGAGTCTCCTCGCACTTGGCGTCGCCGCTAATTGCACACACACGGGGGGGGGGGGGGGGGGAAAAAAAAAANGGGGGGACGAATAATACAAAGTTAGCGGCTATTAACGGCCGCGCAAAATCAATGCGAGCTCTCGCGAGTGAGCGGCCGGGCGCGTAACTTGTGTTACTAAATCCGAAACTAATTCGCTCGCAGCGTAACACACAGAGTGTAACCGACGCCGGTTAAACTCAACGTACACCTAACTCGGAGCGAACCAATCCCGGAGCCAACCGCCGGCGCGGCGTGCTCTGGCCATCCGCAAAATTGTTATTCAAAGATAATTTTGGAGTAAGGAAATTTCGCCGGTCAGTTACTCTACGCTACCGCCGCCGTCGTCGCCGTTGCCCCGCTGTATAGTCATTTCGCCGGCTCCTGGTTACGGCGCGTATAGTCATCGCGACGTACAAGTATAACCGTACATTCGGTGCGTTAGCAGCGTAATAACGTTACACGGCGAACTCGCCTGAAATAATACAAACGGTCGGTCGGTCGGTTGATTCGTCGGCTGGTCCGACTGTGCAAAACTTCGAGCTCGACACTCCCACCTTCTCTCTCTCTCCCTCTCTGCCTCTCGTTCGTTATCGAAACGCCAACTTCATTAATTTTCTTTTAATAACCCCCGGCGAGTAAGTCTGGCCGGCGAGTCGGCCAATTGGCGCCTTTCCAAAAACATCATGCAAATAAACTATTATATTAACAAAGTCTCTGGCGATGAATTATCCTCGCAGTAAATAATACCGAAGGACGGACATTTCGCGAGCAGAGGCGGCTGGTGGCTGAATGCGCATTAGGTCGTATCCCGTGCTTCCTATTCCCGCGGAGATTTATTATCTCGACGATTTCTAAAGAGATACATTATCTCTCTCGCGGAGCGAGAGCCCGCCCGCTCGCTCGCTCGCGCGTTCTCTCTCTCTCTTTCTCTTTCTCTCCTATGCACCGTTATTAAATAGCGATAAGGTACACTGATCAAAGTCGCAGTTCTAAACGATTTGCGCGAGGGAACCGCCGATATCCGCTTTCCCCTCTCGCAGTTGAACTCAATAGCGTGCGTGAAATCAGCGAAGATTAATAAGCGAATACGGCAAGCGCGGCA